TATACTCGAAGCTTTGGATGGTTTATTTAGAATCTGCCTGACTCATCCATCATCAAGGCAAAGCATGTTCATAACTCTTTTTAAAACAGGCCAAGAAGAACAGAGCAGAGGTGTGCGGGTCACGTGAGCATGCTGAACAAGCGGCTAGTGTTTATGCGTACATTGTGTGAAAAGCAAACGGGAGAACGGTCACCTATCTGCGAGATGGAGACGATTCATGGCCGGGAGTCTGAAGAAGAGCGTTGTGTGTGGAAACCACAGTGACGTCCCCGCCGGCTCAAAACAACCTCCCTGCCAGGGCTGGCCTCTCTGTGGTTTGTTTACATTGAGAGCTTTTCCAGACGGCACGTGCACACGCCAACGTGCACGGCATACTGCACACCTTGGGAAAATGTGTACCTCACACTGAAAACACGGAAATCGATCATTGGGGCAAATTATGAGTGGACTTCATTCTGTTTGTCTTACCCACTCTCTTGCATGCAAACAAACACAAACACACACACACACCTGTATTACTCCCCTCTTTTTCAGACCCGCACAGCTGGCTTGGCAACATTATGTGAATGCAGTGAGACTGAGCCAGAGTTCTGCAGATCAGGAATGTGTGTGTGTGTGTGTCTGTCTCTATTTCTCTGTGGCTGTGTGAATTTCTGCATCTATGCACAAAAACATGTTTGTGTCCTCATGTTGTGTGTGTGTGTGTGTGTGGCAGGATGTGAGTGATTGCCCTATGAGGGGGAAGGATGATGGAGCACTAAAAAATGAATCATCAGCAGACGGCTTGGCTGTCCTCTCCCCTCTGTGTATGCCTCAAAGCCTCCTGAGATCTCAAAGCTCTCAGGAACAGAATCCTGATTGCAGAGCTCTTCAATCAACTCCCACATAATGGGGACGGCCGCTTGGCCAAATGGTAAAGGTGTCTGTTCCATAACGTCCCGGATTTACCATCCATAATCGAAAGGTCATAGGTTTGATATACAGTGTCAAAGCAACTTTACTGAATGAATGAGGGGGATTATGTTTTCAAAGATTAATGAATTCCTCTGAAACTGTGATGGATAAGAGCACATGGAGAACACATTAAGTGAGCCTGGTCAAAATATGACTTTTTCGTTTGTTTGTAAAAGAAAAAAGAAAAGTGAGCAGCTTAGAGCTAAATTGACTCTATTGCTAATTGAGTGAAACCAAGGTGATGCACGCTGACACATGCACAATGAAAAACATATCACAGATGTAAAAATAGCATCCCAACTGAATCTTTTGAAAGTTGTCTTTCTAGCTGTGAAATTAAGTCGTCACATGTGGAAACGTGAACATGTGAAAGAGACATTGTTGTAAAAACAGACATGTGTCCAGCAGATGCTTTTGAATAAACATGGAGGTTACAATGTGACTTTTTGTGTAAAGGTACGCCGTTTTCCTCCATGAATAAACAGTAGTGTCATCACAATAACAACAGAACAGCCTGTCTTTGTCAACGTAACACTGTTCCTAAACAAGACATTCATATCACATATCTAGCCATGCACTCAGTTTTGGCCACGTTTCGAGATGTGTCTGAATCCCAATACAATCGAGTTTAATGGAATTTCACTTGTGTTCCTCACAACATTAATCAATGCTACAAGTCTACAGCCATGCCAGCGGCTCTGTGAGGCTGTACTTAATGCCAACACCGTCATGGTAACATGCCTCACAATGGCAATACTTACATGCTGATGTTTAGCAGGTACTGTATAATAATTGCCATCTTAGTTTAGAATGCTAATATTTGCTAATTAGCCTGATAGGAAAACATAGGTTTTGCAAAAGTAAGGGAATCACTAAAGTTATTACAATTCTCCTCTGGGGAACATGAATGCCCCTATCAGCATTGCTTGAACTTCCATGTAAACAATTCAACAGCAACATATCCTTAAAGAAACAATATCACAGTTACTCCAAAGAATACTCAGTCAACAGTTTTCAAGAGAACTACTTTGTTGAAAAAATACTCCTAATGAAAATGTTTGGCAATAAGGACGCATGTACAGCAGACAAGATGTATGACCAAACCAGCCTATGTGTAAAATACCACTTTAAATGTTCAGCATGGTCACTCTGGTCACTTTCAGAGCTCTCTGGGTTCTCCCTCAGCGAGGCTGCAATTGAGCAATGCTTCCCGTTGGCATGCTCACAGACATGCCTATACCCCTACAAACACGCTCTTCATCTGTGCCCCAGTATTTTATTGCTAATCTGTACCAGATCTCAACACTAATCCCTTAAATGCCTGAGGATCAACATGATGGGCTCTTTAAGGTGAACACGATGACACAAAAACACACCTGACGCGAGGGAACGCCAGTAAAACTCCCAGGGCCGCTCCACAGCTTCGGCACAATAACACAGAGGAGGGAAAACAATCCTCAGCAAACAAGATTACAGCTGCACAAGTTTAACGGGCATGCAATTAAGTATATCTTCCAGACAACAAAGCCAAACAGAGTTATCTTAGTTTTTATGAGAACTAAAAAAAAAAAAACTAAAAACATCACGCATGATTTCCTGACAATCTGTGGTAATCACCACAGAGAGCTGGTGGACCATCAAAGATACAATCAACCACTTAAAACACACAGGCAGCTCTGCACTGGCTCTTATTTATGCTCCGATTTCCATTTTGGCAGCGCTGCTGCTGGTAAGAGTAACCGTATGAACAGAGCGCACAGGCATTATGGAGAGAGAACCCTCAACAAGGATTTGATTCTTTCTCCACTGCATGCTGTGATGACTGCGGTCTGCTCATTTGTTCACTCAGGTCTGCTTTTTATGCTCTGTGTGTGAGTATGTGTGTGCATGTCTATGCACTCATTTAGTTACTGGTGGATGCACAGCGTTCCCACCCATCTCCACCCTGTCCTGAAATACACCAGGCAGGATGGGTACAGACGCACAAAGACACAAATACACATAGGATTTATGAAAAATAACTGCAGTAATCCTTTAATAATCCTTTTACTGACTGAAACAAACTGCTCACCAAAGACAGCTGACTGATGAATACTGAAATGACTGAAACAAGTATGGTTGTTTTCTCACACAGCAGGATTACATCTAAATATGTAAAAACTTTTTGGACAACTTTATCTGGATAACAGTCCAGATTAAAAGAGGTTATACTCAATGCAGTTATCGTGTCGTACTTTTGTAGTCATGGGATGAGCTTGAGGCCTTGATAAAAACTATTAACACAAATAATATGTGTTAACACACGTGGAACTAATATTCAGCATTACGCAGATGATACAGTTGTGTATATTTGTGGAGCTTCTCTCTCTCAGAAGCACTTCATAAACAGTCCCTCAGTAATATTTTGCAGTCTCAGCTTTTTAAACTACAGCATTTCTAATGTAATATACAAAGATTGTGGATATTGCTACAACTCTGCATGGGGAATACATATTGTTATTTGGCATGTCGTCCTTTTGGGCAACATGATAAAAACCCTGTCAGATCTTAGCTTACTTTTAGGCTGATTTTAGTAGGATCTGTTTTTAGTATTATTTATACATTTTTTGCATTGTTTTATCCATTGTCTGACGTTTTATTGATTTGTCTGTTTAGGCTGTAGTCTTGGCCACGTCTGCCTTGGAAGAAAGATTTCTAACTAACCTCAATGGGACTTACTTATAACTGCTACTTATTAACAAATAAGCAGTGCAGGAAAGAGTATACTATTTGTGTAAAAATGTACTTAAGTAAAAAGTAAGTCAGTTAAAACGTACTATTACATTTTAAAAAGGGGAAGGGGGGGGGGGGTGATGTATGATACTGGTTAATTAAAGAACATCTTTAGGCTACAAAATAGATTTCACTACATGTCAACGTAAACAACAAGACCACTAACCAACAGATGGGCACTCTGCAGTCTGTGCAAACAACTAATTATCCATTATATGAATATACAACAGCATTAGAATTAACCGCAAAAGAGACTAAATTGATTGACAATAAATAAAACATGTTGACACAAGGAGGCATGAAGCTTCTTTTAGAGTCCACAGTAGAATTAAACATCAACACAACGCAGACAAGGTGGACATATAAAACACTCCACACTGGCTGCAGCCACCAACACATTACCTCCAAAGAGAGACTGCACCGTGTTTATGTTTATGTGTTTTAGAAGAGACTCGGCCTCTGTGTACCAGTATAACCAGTCCAAACAGCAGGAAGTCCTGACACACCTCACTCAAAATAGAAGTTCCTCGATGCAGAAGTCACCGCTGAAGGATCCACATGCGCATGTTAGCCGGACCCAGCGTGCTCCTCCACGTCATGTGGGTGTGTCATTTGGCGTGCTAGCCCGGTGGTCTATGAAATAAGTAATTAGTTAAGATAGATGCTATATATTTAAATATGGCAATATCGTGAACGCAAACTTTTTTAAAGTGTCATTTCCGGGGTGCAGAGCGTCTCTGGAGCGCGGCCCTCCTGCGGCCGCAGACAAACCTGCAGCTGCTTATTTATCTCCATTCTCCTGTTTCATTCTCACACAGTTTATGTAACTTTTCTTTTTAATCTGTTTCATACTTGTGATAAACAGCACAAAGGTAAACATGTACCAATTTTTAAAAATACTTAAAAAGTACTTACACAAAAAACGACTTGTAAATAACACGAAAAAATGTAAATCGTTACTTCCACCCCTAGTGATAAACAAGTGATTGCTCTAATGTAGTGACATATTATATCATCTTAAATACGAATGAACTGATAACTTCTAATTCTAAATATTAACATAACCACACTATCATCTCCAGCAGGTAGGGAGTTGGGTAAATTGCTCAAGGGAACTTCAGCAGATCCTAAACACGAACGAGGAGGACGTGCTCGCCCCTGTCGGTTGTACGTGGAAGTGATCTAGATCATGAGGGCTGGACTGGATCCAGGTGCACAAAAAAAAAGCCTGGCAGGATCATTAAGAAGGAGCTCTCCACTGGAGAGGGCGCACACCCACCCACACACACACACACACACACACACACTCACACTCAACACAGTGAACGCAGAGCAGAGGAGCTCTCATCCTGATCGGTACCAGACGGACGGTCGGCTTTATTGCTTTTGTGCGAGTTTTACTACGTTTTAGTTTCGTTTTTTTTTAACGAAGAATAGTTAATACTTCACTTTGATACACTTTAGTGTCAAGTTTGATATTTTCTTTCCAAGATTGTGTGATTTTTCAAGCCTATTTGTTTGGAATATATTTGGGGATTAAAGGTGGATACTTCACGACGCGCAGGTAGAGTATTTTCAGGAGAAATAGAATCATATCAGTCTGTGAAGTCGTGTCCACAGTGTTTGGACAGTGATTAAATGCATATTCGCTTAAAAAAGAATCCCATCTTCTCTGCTTGCAGAAGTCATCTTGAAAGAAATCGCGCAGGATTGTTTCTTTTCGACGCAACTTGTCAGTGCGACTTCGTCTGGGGTGTTTTTTTTTTTTTTACTTGAATGGTCCCAGAAATGGTGGGGCACCTACATTTACAAGCGATGGATGATAGCCTGAAAGGAAAGAACCGGGAAGGGCTGCTCGACAGTCCGGATTCGGGGTTGCCCCCCAGTCCCAGTCCGCCCTTCTGCTCAATCTCCCCGGGTCTCATCGAGTCGCGCTCCGGCAGCTGCACGACGCCCGTGGAAAGCCATCATGGATATTATAAAAAGGAGAGTAAAGAAGGCAAACTGGTGAGAAACACAGCGCTCTATTTACTTTATGATTTCAAACAATTGTGTAACCTGAAAGCAGATACTCGGGTCTGTTTTGTGTCCACAGTAAGTTAGCAGTCATTCACTTCATTGACACTTCATGATTAAAAAAGAAAGAAAAAGACCTAATGGCTAAATAATGACGCTGCTGTGAGAGAAACTGAAGATCTGAGAGCTTTTTAATGTTTGGCCAAAAACGTATTTCACTTCAGTCCCACAACATCTGGAAGCTCTGTCTCTCTCTCTCTCTCTCTCTCTCTCTCTCTCTCTCTCTCTCTCTCAGAAATTCCTTAGTTGTACACTTTTGATGTTGCACTTGTGCTGTAGATGTCACTGGCCCTCAATAAACCGGTAGAAATGTTTTCCTTCTCACTCTGGTGCATCAGCTGGGCTCTCAGTACAATGGTGTCATAAGGGTCAGTGAGTTGATAAGGCCCTCTTGGGTTCCCAAAGTGAGGTCCAGGGACTCCCAGGGGTCCTTGCCAGGATTCGAGGGGCTCCCATGCAAGATGGCAGAAAGCTTTATGACACCAGGTGATTCACTCAGTAGCCTGGTATCTGAGTCAAGGTGTGTACACGATGAACATGACTAGTGTGATCAGGTTTTTCCACCTGTATGACAAGACAAAATATTATAATGGTCTGTGATGGATTTACATGAGGCACTGTCATGACAAACTTTGTGACAGGCTTCTTCTTCAAGGCCTGTCATGTCAGCCATGTTGATTAGAGAGATGAAATGAGACACATAGTCAGACAGACTTTTATCTTTTTAAAACCTTCACCAGTAGCAGGTCTGTGTCCTCTGTTGAAACCACATGAATGGAAAGGCAAATTGCCTGTTTATTAAATTGGTACTTGCCATTCCCAAACTTGTTGAACCCTTCTTCACATGTTGCATCTGTTTTTTAACTGGTGAGGTATTTAACCAAGACGAGTATTTCATTGTCAGATTGTTTCATTTGAGTAGTGTTTACAGTTCTTCGTTGATAATCATCATCACTTTTCTTATTTCCTTACTTGTTTATCATCTCTGGTCCGTTGACAACCCAACCCCCAAGTTGGATGAGGCATCTTACGTATGGGAACCTTCGAGTTTTGTATTTCACCATTGTGATTCTGTTCCAGAAGTTTGAAAGTTATGTTGTGTCTAGCGTGGGTTTATGTTTATTAGTACTGTTATTATAATACTGTTAAGTGTCTCACTCAATCTGTGGACATCGACACCTAAATAAAAAGCTGAAAATAGAAGTTAAAGTTGTTGTAAACGGAGAGAATGCTGTTCAATAGATTAATCTGAGTCTCAAAATGAATGAAAAAGAATCAGCGCTGGAAGCCGGGGTCCTGCTGGATTAATTCATGTTCAACTCACCATGTCTGTGGATGTGGTAGCAGTAGAACCAGAGTAGTAACAGGACCTTTTGGATGTCAATGAAAAGTGTTCATAATAACACTCATATCTGCCTCAGTCTCAGCTCATTTCACACCACCACAGGGTGCAACCTGTTAATAACATTATTAACAGGTTGCACCCTTTCTTAAATTTCTTAAATTGTTTCCTGAGAAAAACCCACTAGCTCCTGGGCATTAGGAATCTATAACTCGTCTATGATAATTAAATCCTAAAGATGAAATTGCATTATTTGAAAAGCAATATTGCTTAATCAGATGAATCATGATACTGCATTTAACAGATGATCTTCTTTGGAAACTAATATTTATGATAATTGCTAAATGCATTTCAATGACACTCCGTGATTTGTATCACACGTGATGACGCTGATTTTGATTGAAAATCATTTCCAGCTCACTCCCACTTTCAAAAGTCTTAAGAACATGTCTGCGCAGGTCGGGGTGGCTTTTAAAGTGTCTGAGGGAGGCCTCAGAAATGCAGCGTTGCATCCTGGGAGTTGCGTGACATTGGTTTGCTGAAGCCTGAAACAGAGAGAGATCCTCTAATCCTCTGGCGGTTCAGATTAGTAGGTCTCCACTGCTTTGCGGTTTCCCTTTTAAAGATCAGTCCTGATAGGGGCTGCTCCTGCTTTCCATCCTAATCCTGTCTGTGGGCCTGTTTGTATGGAAAGAATCAAACCTCTCAGTCACATGTAGACTTTTAGACTTTTAGTGTTTTCCGGTTATGTGTCTGTTAGCAGGACGAGAGGAGGCATACATGTGCCAAATCTATTTATGAGTTGTTTTTGTTTGCCACCTAAGAACAATCCTCTGGTTCTATTTTGGGGTGCAGGGGCTTGTTAGAGTGGCTGCAGGACATTGCATAAGTGTTTGATGACCTCTCACTTCTAAATTAAACGCGGAGTAACCCTCAGTCTGTTTTCAGACCTGAGCCAAAATTATGCAGATGTGGGATACTTACTCTTATACTTGCATGTCTTTACGTACATGTATGAATTAATTAATGAGACGGACTAGATGCATTAACGATATCAGTGTGATCATCTAATCTCGGGTGTAAAAGATACTTGTCCTGTTTAAGGAAGCCTGATCAAGTGTCGGTGGATTAGACAAGAGGGAAGGCAGGAGACGGGATCTCATGACTTTTTTTCTAAATCTGCCTCACTGTCTGATACTGATGCTCTTGCATTAACCGTCTTTGCAAACACCAGGATGCAGAGTCAGTTCACTTCGCCAAACAGCAAGCAGTTGGAAGAGTGTGTTTGAATTGGCGTTTTCTCTCAGCAGCTCGGCATTGTGCATTGTACGTTGTGTGGGTTGCTCAGCTGCAGACTATTTTTCCTGGGCAGAAATGTGCTTCCAGGGGGGTTTATGCTTTGTGAGCATACCGGGGGATCCGCTGCCTGGAGGTGACTTACCCTCCCTTCACGAGTGTTTGCTTTGCAGAAGTTGTCAGAACACACCGTGGAGAAATACCTGGGATGCTCCCCATGACGGAGCAGTGGAGGTAAAGACGATCACATAGCTTTTTAGATCATGAAGTACCAGCAGCAGAAACTGAACCGCCCGCAGATGAATTTCTTTCCAGTCTGGCTTTGAAAAACTAGCAGCTGTGCAAGTTCAGCTCCACCGTTCAGATAGTGTGTGTGGTGATGATCGCAGGCTGTAGGTAAGACGAGCTTCAAGCAGCGATCTGCCGTGTCCTTGGCCTGTTCTCGCTCGTCCCCTGTATTGGCATGTGCGCTTAACTGCGGCCAAACCACAGCATGTGACCGCCTCCGCTGTGTAACGTGAGAGGTGTCAGTGTAGTGGTTGAAGGGCCAGTTGATTCAGATCGGTCAGAGACACACACGCAAAGAAAACGGTCAATTACAACATTGCCCACTGTGTGTGACAGTAATCTGTGTTTCTGATTGGTGCAGCTCCGTCTGTCCCCTTATGGCTCCAGAGGGGACACTCAGAGGTCAGGGGTCAGTACAAAAACAGATCTGGTTCGTACAGTTAGTTGAGTACAGTGTATCTGTATCCCATCTGGTGTTCTGCGCTGTTAAATCACGCGCTCTGCATTAATCCCATGAAAATGAATGCGGTAATATTTGTATGATTTCTACAGGAATATGTCTGAGTTTGTGACACTCAGTACTGGTTTGTTGGAGCTTATTAGGGTGGTATTACTCATCTATACATCAAACACGTATTAACGCTGAAACAAATTTGATTCAAATGATTGATTAGTCTATTTTTGACATTTTATAGACCAAACCATGAATTGATTGATCGAGAAAATAATCGTCAGATTCTTTGGTTATGAAAATGATGATAAGTTGCACCCCAAGAATCTAATATTTTGGTTTCAAAAGTATTTTACGCATCAGAAATCATCAGACTGTGCCTCCATGAGTGTGTGTTGGGGAGCTGTGTGCAGCAGGTGGAGTAATGACGATGGTCAGGATGAGATGAAGATGCTCTCACACATGCAATGTTTGATAATTTGAACCCATAAATATCATACTTTACACAAGAATCAAGAAATATGATAAAGGCACAGCAACATATTTAGAGTATTTTGGATAACTTGTTCCGATGAGACCTCTTACTTTTGGCAAACCAAAAAGAGAATCTTTCAATTTCACCTCATTGTCATTTATCTGACTGTATCGTCTCCACCCAGCCTGGCTACCAGCTGCTCTGGAGATTCATATCATTATTTTTTTTTTTTTTGGATTTCTGTAGCTACTGTCGGCCGAACATCTGCAAGCCTATTTTCAGTCCATTCACACACCACACACGCACACACACGCTGTGTCATCATGGTCACACATCTCTAGCCAGCCATAGAGAGATTTACCACCAACACTCCATATGGTTGGGCCCACACAGTGTAATTTTCTGAATTAAATTGGAAGTGTTGCCCCGACTGCTGTGCTTCTTGTCTAATTGTTGTTGTAGTAGTCGTGCCACGGACAAGGCGAGTTCTCATGAGGGCGGATCAGGGAGCATGTTTTCCTTCGAGAGGGTGGGGACTGCAGTCAGTGTTTTTAATTTGGGTTTCTGGCTCTGCTTAAAACCCCCGACCATGCTGGGATTTTTTTTTACTGGAATTCCTTGAATGAACACGTTGGCCGGCTGGTTACAAACAGTTCAGCAGTTCATGGATGTCTTTGTGAGATTGTGACTCTTGTGTTTCCTCTGCACAGCTGCCCTACCTGCTGCTAAACTCCACGAGCACAGACCCAAAGACTCGCATGTACCCTGTGTTCTTCGGAGAAAGCATCGAGGTCAACCCCAAACCAGAGCAGGAGATCAAGTAAGGGAACTTTGACACATAAAGACATAGGATTGGTTGCAATATGGAGCTTCCTTCACTCATTTTGATCAATATGCTCTTGTCAACAGTGCCACCTAGTGATCATTCTTGTATGGGGTTCTAAAGAGTTCTCACCTTCTCCTTTCCAGGTGCAACTCCGAGGTCAAGTACGACTCAGACAAGCATTACCGGGACCAGGTGTACTGCGCCCCCGTTCCCACGGCCACCTCCTTCAGCGAGACAGTGGTGGCGGTGCACAACTGCACTTGGAAGAGCTACAAGTCCCAGGTGTACCTGGAGCCACGGCTGAAACCCATCAGCTACCAGAGCACCACCATTATCTACCCAAAACACGCCAAGAACTCTTACCGCACCACGCTCAACTACAACCCCACGGGCTCCCGCCGCTGGTTTGTCTCCACGGTGCAGCTGGAGTCGAGTGAGGATACTAGTCCCTGTATCATCTACACAGAGGACCTGTAGGGCCCAGACCGCACTGGGAGAGGGCTACCTGGTGATCATCTTATTTTTTTTGGAAGGGACGAGGAACTTGGGACCGGAAATACTTCAAATAATACCCGAAGCCCCTGAAAACCCTACTTTGTACTCGCCATGGAGGAAACTCTGGGAACCCTTTAGTGACATTTCACCTAAGTGTATTTAGACTTTCTACTGATGCAGTCTTTAAAAAAGGGAGTCTGTCCTCTGGCAGTTTGAAGCTGCACTTCAATGGTTGATGTCTTATTTAATACAAGAGCTGACAAATTGGTGGCCTTTGCTCTTTCAGGTTGGATTATAAGCTCAGTGAAGGTAACAGACTGTAGACGTCTGTGTATGTAGAGAAAAGTCAAGATGACATGTGTGGTGGATTTCAGCCGAGCCTGCGCAAACCCGGTCACACCAATGCAAAGCTTTCTAATATGGCTTTATTGCACTTGTTTTCTATATATCACAGTCCTCCCAGTGGATTTGGGATTGGAGGGGGGGTTTCAGCACTGCATATGAGAAATTGGACCAAAGATAGTTTATCTCTTTGTAATAACTGCTCACACTGCGACAGTTTATCTCTTTGTAATAACTGCTCACACTGCGACAGTTTATCTCTTTGTAATAACTGCTCACACTGCGATAGTTTATCTCTTTGTAATAACTGCTCACACTGCGACAGTTTATCTCTTTGTAATAACTGCTCACACTGCGATAGAACACTTGCTTTTGTTGTACAGTTTCAATTAACACACGTTCAAACAGCAGCTTGTCTAGTTTGATCAAGCATTTAATTAAACTCAACTGCACGTTGCAAAGTGTCCTGTTTATTCACCAGAGCGGTCTCTAGACTAAGTCTAATGAAAAGAAGGATCACAGGACAATAGCAACTGATTGCCTTTAGAATATTTGAAAAATGGAAGATATTTAAAGCCTTTGAACACTTGGTTTTAAATCTTAAGTTCTTTGCAACATTAAATATTCAGCCGTCTTGGATCCCTGTGGTTATGGTTTAAAGACCTGTTAAACCTAATGTCTGTTAAAACTTCCTTTGAATACCTTGGTTGAGATAGTGTCAGAGTGAAGGGTGTTTTGGTAAACAGGTTCTTGTTAGCTTGTTTGGCTGCAGAGCAACAATAAATGAAGTCTGGGGAAAAAAACATCTTTATTTATTAAGAGTTCAAACTGTGCTTCATCCGGACCACACATCATCTATAGTTACAAGATGATTGAGAACATACATGTATGTTTTCAGGGCCTTTAAGAATGCTGGTAATCATTGTACGGTTTGCTTTTTTCATAACTGTTTTGAACCTGCTTTGGTGTCAGATGGTTGTCACACAAGTGCCAAACAAATTAGACAATCACGGGAAGTGTTTGACAATTTGAAACACTTCTTTGTCAGAACTCTTGGTACTGAACAAAGTGTACTTATCTCACTCGTCTACTTCTGCATGAGAGTCAAACACAAAAACAAGAACTATTTCTAACTGCAATTATGTGGATCGTTTAAGTGCTTCTGAGAATCTGCGTTTCAACTGCCTCTCAAAATAAAGCTGAAACTGTTCTGGATCAGGTGTCTCCAGCTATTCGTAAATCCATCAGTCTGTGCATGAAGTAACTAGTTGTTTGTTTCAAACCAGTGAATTACCTAATCATGTCGTACCATTCAAATTTAGGGAATGTTTTAGCCAGTAAAATTTGCTAGAAAAAATTTGCTAGAAAAAATCTGCGTCACCTTAGCCTCACAAAATGATACAACAATACATTAATCTTAACTAGTAAGCTTTTGTAAATGTAGATAAAATGTGTTTTTTAGAGTTAGTATTAATGCTAAACTAGCTAACGTTATTCTGTCATTTAGTCTGACATTATTACGTTAAGTCATTTTAATCATTTTGTTACATTAGTGAAATTTGATTCAAGATCTAATTTTGATTTAAAAGTGTCAGGTCAGATGTACTCTTCACTCTAAACCGGTCATCTGTTAGCAAGCTAACGTTGCTTTGTCACTTGGTTCCGTTAGCTAACCTCATGTAGTGTAGCTAAGTCGCTAACAGTTACTCTCTACATAAGAACTACTTCGTGTGATACAATTTACAACTTATTTTAGTGAACTGTAAATCTCCACTTACAGTAGTAAACACTCACAGTATAACTATATCAATTGAATTTACGAATTGCTGGTGTTTCATTTTGTTTTCAGCTATAAACCAATTGTCAAAATGGGAAGTTTCTGGTCCGAGGTAACTGAAAAGCATTAAACCACTCTGTAATTACCAACATGTAAAAAGTGGTGCAGTAAAAACCACATCAGACATCCCTGTTGAAGATGTAAAATAGATTTTTATTGAGCGTTTTCATTACTTTTTTTTTTCCATCTGTCTCTATTTAGGTTATTGAACAAGACAGATATTGAAATTTCAGAATTTACCTCAGACCTAAATTTGCGGTCTTGTTATTTTTATAGTTTGAAAAACCCTCCAAGTAAGATGAGGGTAGGAGATACAAGCTTTAATGAGGGAACAGTAAGTAGCAATGCAAAGAGCCAGACAAGAAGAGGAAAATAAGATGAGGAACTTGTTTTGAAGATGGCTTTTTATACTGTACAGTAAAGTTCCAGGAAAGGTGATGGAGAGTTTTGCTATGTGTAGATGGTCTGTGAAATGTCAGAGAACGATGAGAGAAAGTTGGTGGGTGTCACGTTTAATATGTTGGTGGTTTTATGTGAAATACATTTGTGTTTCTAACACTTCATTTTGTTACTGTAAAATATTTTCCTGTTGTATATGTGGCATTGAGGCACGTCATGATTCTCTTTATATTTTTGTACATCAATCATCGTTCTTGTTCTGATCAAAGTAAATAATTTAAAAAGATGTATATCCTAAATTAATAAAACAAAAAAGCAATTCCCAAACCTTTACTCTGTTGTGTTGAGTATTTGTTTCTTGATCTTGAAACCAGGACATTGTATTTTCTTGCTTAGCACAGGTTCAGAGGAAGTTCTCCAGACACAGAGGTTCGGCTCCTGTGACTAAATCCAAGCCAAAGTGAGGATTTATGAAAATACAGACATGAAAATAAGTACACAAACGGTTCTTTCAAATGCAACTGAAATGGCAGCACTAAATATTGGCTCTCAGACTCTTGTTTCTTAGCAGTAAATAATTAATTCATGACTATTTCTCTGTACTGAGCAGCACAGAAAAGTCCTAACGACATGTTTTAGAGATGGGTTACCTGTCCAAATGTACTTTTCATCTCTGGTTTATATACTCTTGACAAACTACTATAAATCTGTAATATCTGATCAGCAAGGAGAAACCAAAGTCACTATTCAGCACAGCTCTGCCCTGTCCAAAGACAGTTTTTACAAGTATATAATACTTATGTAAGGACTTTGTTATATGTTATAAATGGAGAAAGAAAGGCTATTCAGTCAGAATTTCATAACATTGTCACCTTGTAGTGCTCATGAGAGTTATGTAAGGAGGGGGATCATAACATGCAGTTTGACCTACACACAAGCAGAGTGATTGTAACAGCTGGAATAACTACCTCCACTGAAAGCTCTGAACTTCACCATCAGAGGAACTGTTTTAACAAGAATCGGGTCTTCGTTTTCTTCAATTCATGAAAAATGATTCGCAACAAAGCATCTCCTCCCAAAGTCTGTGTCAAAAACACAGTGTGTAGTTGTTAAAAAAACATGCTCATACTGCCCCCTGGTGGTAATCTACATTCATTACATTTCATTCAAATGTTCCTGCAGGAAAAATGAATACAATAACGTGTGAGAAGGCAGAAGTGCAGCGATAAATAACATGACTCTGAGACCATGAATGGCAATAAGCTTTTTATTTAAACATTAAGGCAGTGTCTTTTTTGTTTTTCATTTTTACACTGCTTATCCACAAAGCTTGCTGGTGGGTATGTAGAATTTAACCATGTGAATATTTCTTTTATTTTTTAGTAATACCAACCTTGAAGCAAGCCACATAAATATTTACATCTCTTCAGTTTTATATACAATCCTTGCTATTATACAGTGGGTTATAATAAAAAAAAATCATTATGCACAAAATGGTTGAACAATGTAATGTTTATGACAAACCCACCCCCCATTTGACAGCCCAGGGAACACATCAGCAAATAACTGTCTTTTCACGTTTTGAATGATTACGTAAGATTTGGGACATGATTAAAAAAAACTAAATGGATGCGTTTTAAAAATCATTTCAGTATACCTTTTAAAAACTACGTATTAGTCCATCATCTGTTTAGGGAACAGCTGGATATGGCTTAGTCTGATTACCGTCACCTTCTTAAATTTCATCAGAGGACAAATGATATACACGCAGAGTGATTCATGTACAAAGCCTGGCTGTATGCTTGCCTTGCCTGATGCAATTACAAACCCTCCATCAGTCGTGATAAAACAAAACAAAATCAGACCTAAAACATGACTGAGCTTTCTGCAGGTGTGGCATCCTGGATGCTTGACTAACGAAAGGTAGAATGAATGAAGGAGGGATAGGAGGTAGTCCTATAACAGTCATGTTTGTGAGAATCCCCTGTGACAAAATGAACTCGAGATAGAGGTAAGTCTGTCTAAACCACTAAACAGGCTCAATGCCGTCGCTTCAGAGTGTTCAGTCAAGAGGACAGAGATCGTCCCCGGTAGCACAGAAGTCACAAGCCGGGAAACATTTCATTTACACAGAGGAGGACCTTTAAAATACTGCAGTAAACTGTGAGAACATGTCAATTAATGTCACGTAAAACTAGCAGAATGCTTCCGAATGCCTTTCCCTCGACTTCCTCCGACCAGTACAAACACCACGGAGTACTGGAGTACACTTGAAGTATGTCATGGGTCTCGTGGTGGAGAGAACATCTGCTGCAGTGAGCTGTCCTGTGATACAGCATTGTCTTGTTTCACAGATAAAGCTCATGAGTGAAACAGTTAAAAGCTAAGGCTGTGATGGATTTAGAAGCAAAGAAAAAAAATGCACAAATGTTTTTTTTTTTGTTTTTTTTTTTTTTTGTTTAAAAGAGGTTTCATTTGCCGTTATGTTTTCAGATTTCCCTGCGTGGACAGTATAAACTCTGTCATGGGGAGGCTGAAAGAAAAATTGTGCGTCACTTGGTAACTTCAGAACTGTATATGTAAAATAAATGGCACTTAACACTAGGAATATCTCATAACTGTACAAAATCTGCCTGGATGAGGAGTCGGGTCTCAGCTCCTCCTCTAGACAGTAAAAAGGTCAAAGGTCAGACCGTCACAACAGCTCCTAGACGAGATTCTAACAGGCCAGCTGAAGCCGACACCGCCATGGACCAAGGGTCATAGAAAGATGGCTTTTTTTTTTTTTTTTGTCACCTCTTCAATGTGAACGAACTCTAAGTGATGCTGAGGAGTTTGCCTTTAAGCGGCTTTAAGGTCGGTCTGCATCTGCTCGAAGCGGCTTAGTCATCGTTCACCAACGTGTGATTGTCGCTTTGAGTGTGGGAGCAGTAAAGAATACTGGTGGCAAGACCAAATTAAACAGACAGGTGTTAAAGGATACCTCCACAGTGGGATTTCTATGCTGCTCTTGAGTCCATTTTTCACCTGCCCCAGGAAACGCATATTCTTAAAAATGCCATTGTGAACAGACTGACAACTAAGTGCTTAATATCCAAAAACTGTTCCAACAAACACAGACATGATTAATATAAAAACAGTGAGAAAGTGTCACTCGTTTCACTGCCATCCATCTGGCAAACCATCTCTCTCCCACGTGTATGTCTGAGGTCAACAGACCTTCACCTTCCCTCAGGACCCCCCTCCCCCCCTTATATATGACGACATCAGCAATGAACAGCATGTTTACCCTGTAAACCAATGATATGACCCTCCCCGCATAACAATAATAATCTCAGCCCCCCCCACCCTCATCCCAAAAAAGATACATCATTGCAGATAATAGACAACAAATGACACCATCAAAAGTTCACCATCAAAATGTACTAGAGGTCTCAGCTCACGTTCCAAACACAGGACTGGACTAACTGACTTTAAAAAGAAGCAAAAGAACGAACCGAAACAAGATAAAACAGGATGTTGATTCTCTTCCCGTCGCCTCGCACGTGTTCTTGTAGTGGTAGCAGTGCACAGGCCGCCTGCACCTGGCGTTCACTTTGAAGAAACGTGAGAGGGCCCTCGCTGTGTGGGCCGCTGTTCTCGGGTCAGATCTGCCGGCAATATCCGTCACTGGAGGAGCCATCGTCAAGCTCCGGACTAGACGGACAACATGACCCTGGAGTCCCTGTCAGCAACATTAGAGCGGTACACCCAAAAGGTGCAGGTCACTGTGTCTATATTGATAAGGCCAGTGAGGAAAAGTAGCAAAGTTTAAAAAAAGAAAAGTGATTTGTCCTTTAGAGTAGTCCTGGAGTGAATGCATAACACATAAGTGCAAACATAGACACACACACACACACACGCACACACACACACACGGAGCAGCAGAGTCTGAGCTCGGGCTGCTTGGAGTCTCAGATGTGTGAAAGGAGAAGGGCATGATCCTTGCTTGACAGCTGACGGAGGAAATGCAGAGTGGAATGGTGTGGGTAAGTTTGCAGATGCCTCAGCAGGTGTGTGTATGTGTGTGTCAGTGTGTGTGTGTGTGTGGCTGCAGCAGCACAGAGCTGGTTGACTGTTAGCGGGTCTTGTGGTGCGATAGATTTCTGGGTCACTCGCTGTCAGACAGGGTCTCGTACTGAGACATGAGCAGAGGCTTGGGTTCCTCCTCCCAGGACCGGCCCTGTCCAGGTCCAGGTCCTGGCCCCGGGGCCTGGCCCCCCAGCTGGCCAGAGGAGGGCGAGGGAGCAGACACCGTCCCGCTGGGGAAACGCATTATCAACGGGTTACACGGGAAGGGAGTTGGAGTTGAACCTGCAAAAAAAAAAAAAAAAGCAGAGTGACGGAAATGTCAGGATGAGTTTGAGACATTTTGTCCTTTTCCATCAACCGCTACAACAGATTTACTATTAACTGCTGCGTTTCATACCAGTGGATGAAGGCCGATCCTCCCAGACACGGTTGGTAAGTGGAGTTCGTCTGTTGCAGTCTCCCTCAGAGTGGACTGAGGACACAGACGACGGTCTCTCCCCCCCTGACAGGCCTGGTCCTGGAGACTTGGCCTTCCGACCATTAGAGCGCCCGCTGCCCTTTGAGGACTTTCCCCCACCTGCAAGCAGAGGAGGCCGAGCTCAAACCTACAGTGTAACAATCCTAAATTGCACATTTGGGAACGGCACATGCAAGACTATATTGGGGTGAAGAAAAAACAAAGACAAAAGAGTCGGGGGATGTTGCACCTTGTGAGAAAAAGTCTTCAACGCGCCCGTCGGCTCCAGGCATACCAGCAGACACAGCTGATCCCATCTGGTTAGCGGCGTTGGATGGAGAGCGTTCCTCGGGCTGATCATCGTATTTGCCCATTAAGGCCTTCCTTATGATGGCCTCCAGGCCTATCGAGTTACCGGGTGTCTCGGGAGCTGGATGGCAGCGGACACTCACAGGTCCTGTGAAAGGAAGGAGTGTTCAACAAGTTAAGAGGGAGAAAGGGGCTGCAAGTACAGACAATGCTATCAGAAGCTACTGTAATGATACAGCTACAAGAGCATGAAGAGGGGGAAGGCCCTATATACTGTAGCATTCTATGTCATGAGTGTCCCGGCAGTTTCCGCCTCGTCTCCGTCATCTGGTAACACAGGTCAAGTCAATTTCCTGTGTAAACGGCACCTTTCACACCATCTCAGGACCTTTGTGAGATTTCTGTACATCTGTCACAAACAGCTCTCGTGTGAACACAAGCAGTCGGGTAGAGGAGGCAACAGAGAAATCCATGTTCAGGATATTGGTGAACGGGATACTGGTCTTTCCAGTTAGACATTTTTCTACACGTAAATAATTCATCATGAAAAGTGCTGGGGCTTTGAACAGCAGTGTACTGGAATTAAATTGCTCCTGTTCACATGTTACATTGGCCGGTTTGGCACCAAAGCGAAGCTGAATTGAACCAGATTTTAAGCTTTCACTTAAATTTGCTGTCACTCAAAACATTGCTGCCTGCAGCTGGTCAACATGATATTGCTAACATGTTGTTGTGTCATCCTTGCAGGCTTCTCCAAGTTGTTTTTTGTCTGGAGAAT